GCAGCGCGCCCCTCTGCCCTACACCCCGCCGCGCCACGCCACGCCCGCCGCCGCTACTGCAACCTCCACCCAAACACCATCGTTGGCGTAGCAATGCTTCATTTCACCCCTCCCCAGCTGTCTTTGTTCGACGGGCGATCACCGTGTCGCAGGCATCGGGAGGTACCACCTCTCACCACGCCGCGGAGGTACCCTCACCCTCTGCCCCAGCTACTCCACTCGCCCACGGGTGCACCCGAAGAGCCCACCGAAGCCTAACGCATCTGCGCCTCAGAGCAAGATACCAACGTCATCGGCCCACCCGGGTACTCCGTACTCTTGCCCTGCTGAGGGATGATCCACGGGGCCTCTGCTCCCCGTGGCTCGTTCGAGTTGGGCAAGTGTACGGGAACCCGCCCCGCTGCCTCCCGAGGACGACGGCGCTGTATCAACCAGGGCCCCCGCACCCTGAGCCCCCCTGAGGAATGAACACGGGGGCCAACCCCCTCTGTGATTGTTCGGGGCTGCCAAGGGTTCGGGAACCCACTTAGCTGCCATCTTTGAGGAAGCTGGGTTTGCAACCGGAAGCCGGGATCAGCATGTATGCTCGGCATCGTGCCCCGGTGGAAGGGCCTAGCAATATGAACGACTCCGGTCGGATCATGAACCTTGGGCCAAAAGAGGCCTCGTGGTTAGTCAAGTCAAGTCAAGTAAAGCTGCCGGCCAGGCACAATGCTCTCGGCACACACAATAGGACTGATGTCAAAGACGAGTGGATGGGTTGGTCGGGCTGGGGGCGGAGGCCGGGGGCCGGCTGGGGGCGAAGGCTGGGGGCGGGCGTTTAACGGAGATGGGCAGCAGGGGGGCTGGTGGTAACTGCTGTAAGTGGCGGTCGAGCGCGGGCCGGCCGGCCGGGTGAGGGAGGCGCGCCGCCCGCCCCCACCGCCCCCGCGGAGACCGTGATGGAGAGGCGAGGCTCATTCCGCTCTGAATATTACATTAAATATTATTACGTCATTCTCTGTGCGCTGCTGGCGGGCTGGCTGGCCGCGGGGCGTTTTCTTCTCAAAGTTGTTATTTTTTTTTGTCCCTGCTCCCCCTCATTGTCCGCCCCCTGCTGATGAGATTTAGCGGCCGGCGCGCGCGCCTTTCTGCCGAGGGGCGACATTCCTCATCGTCATCCTGGAGCCGCAGCAGAGCGAGAGCGTATGCCTGTCGTGGGCCAATCGAGAGCATGTCGACGTCGTCGTCGTCCTCCTGATGATGACTGCCCCGCTCGCTCCCCTCCATCGGCTCCCCGCATCCGAAGAGGTGGTTTCCGAAGGAAGTAAACTCCGCCACCAAGCGCCCTCTCCATCTCTTTTATGGCTACATCTTCGCTGAGTGTGCAGCGGGGCGGGGCGGGCAATAACGTTTCATCCCGCGACCCATCAGCTGATGTCGCGCCCGGCGCACGCACGGGTGTGAGGAGGGGGAGCGCGTTCAGGACTCCCGCCGTACCTCACCAAATCGGATAAATATTGAAACTTTACAAAAAAAAAAAAGCAAAAGCAAACAGTTTCTGCGATGACGAACTTGTCGCTTCGGGGAGCAGGAATAAAGCGTGGCTCCCCGAACCCGCCCTCCCCGTCAGCCGGCGCGCGCAGCGGCGGCGGCGGTATGGACTTAAATCTCCGCCCAACAGAGCTGCTTTTCGGTCCGAGTGAACAGGATTGGTCCGTGACGAGCGCGCCCAGCATCCTTCAGGGATTTGTGCATCGGTCCGTGTGACGTCATTAGTGGATCCCCCGCTCTCCCCCCCCCCCCTCTCTATCTCCGCTCACCCCCGTCTCACCTCCTCTCGCCCACTCGTTAGAGGGGCGGAGCCAGCGCAACGGATGGCTGTCCTAGAGAGATTTAGAATTCGGGCCCCTCCAGGTAAACCTGCTGCTGCCGTCTTTTATCGGGAAATTACCGTATTATTTGCGGGTTATTTTTATTTCTAGTTTTAGTTTAGGAGGGCAGCGCGGAGAGCAAGGGCCCTGGCCCGGCGGGTGGTGGTCACTCTGCGTGCAAGGCCGGTAGCTCGGGGGAGTGGGGCGAAGGCCCGGCCGCGCTGGACGCGTAACGAGGATAAATGGCCACTCTCCAGCCATTGCTCGGCCACTTTCTCGCAGCCCGCTGCATCGCATCCGACCTCGCCACCTGCTATCGCCGGCTGGCCGGCCCGCTGCTCCAGCAAGCTCCAGCAGCAGCAGCAGGCCCTGCTGGTGCTCTGGCCTGGAGGAGACGAGGGCAGCTAGGGCAGCCGCCCCCGCCGGGGCGTTCGGCGAACCGCGTGCCCGCTGGAGGACGCTATACTCCCCCCTCGAGGGCCCCCCCC